TCCACAAAACGCTCCCACACGCGCAAAACGGTGCATTTTTTTTTTTTTTTTTTTTTTTATCTGATTAGCAGTTAGCAGGCATGCCTCCTTGCAGTTGTGTGTGTCGGTTTGTGTGCAACGCAGCACAGCATCAGGCCCCAGGCAGGGCATGGATTTCATTTAGGAAAGTATCAAAGGTTTACACGCTGCTCGCTTTAATCAGCATGTTTATCAGGCAGAGAAAAATTGCAGGAAGCAAGCGCGGGCGGGCGGGAGGGAGGCGGAGGAGGAGGACGACCGCCAGGGTTATCTTAAGGACCAGTAGCCAGGGAAATTGATAATGTCTACAAGGTAATTTACTGGAGGCCGCTCCATCCGCCGCGCTCCCGCCACCGGCCTGGCATTCTAATTACAGCGCGTGTAATGTTCTAATGAATCTGCAGGTGTGTGTCGGTGGGGGAGGACGCACCGAGGTAGGGAATGTGTGCGTGCACCGCTGCGCCCTGCTTGTGTTTGTGTGTTGTTTGTGTAGCTTCGGGTTTTAACCTGTTCCTGTTCTTCCGCGCAGTCGTACAGTATATGGATTTGATGAAAAGCAATTAGAAGGGCCCTCGGTGATATTGAAAAAAATACATACGCTATGGCCCCCCAAAATGGGTAGTTACAGCTACAGGAAGTGAAAATGGATGAAAATTGGAAGTTGAATGTCGGTATTGAAAGTTTTGTGGTTCACGTGGCAAGAGTCAAGATTGTTTTCAGGCTTCTGAAAAGCTTGCTGGTGAGCTGATTATTTGAGTCAGGTGTGTTGGAGGAGGGAGACATCGAAAATAAGGTGGACAGGGGCTCTCGAGGACCAGACTTGGGCAATCCTTGTCTATGCAGTTCACAACGCTATGTTCGGTTGAAGTGGGGGAAAGTACCGTATTATCCACACTAAAAGGCGCACTGGATTATGGGGCGCACCTTCAATGGGTGGCCTATTTTGTCTTTTTTTTTCATACATTGGGCATTATAAGACCCAATCTACAATGCATCCACTAGATGGCGCTACGCTCACGGAAACGCCAACAGAACGATCAGATGTCAGTAAAACCTATTTAATAAAGCAGCGACACAGTTCACTTAACGAACAGCAAGTTAGAACATTGACTCGCTTAACGTTGAACTCTCTTGCCGCTGCTCTATTTCCGTGTTCAACTGCGAAACCGATCGCCTTAAGTTTGAACTCTGCGTTGTCAGCATGTCTCGAGCAAGGAGCCATTTTGGGGGTCGAAATATTACCGCAATGACCATACACGAGGTGCATCGGATTTTAAGGCGCGCCTTTTAATGCGGAAAATACAGTCGTTTTTTAATATGCTAACACCAAGATGATATCTCTTGTGGCAATATTATCGTTACATCCCTCCATTGCAGTGAACACGTTAGTTGTAGCGGGACCTAAGAACAAACAACAAGCGTGGAGGAGAAACAAGGGTGTCCTGTAATCACCTCTTGCCATCGTTGGACATAAATTATTCAAGATGCAGTGAAAACGGAGTACTGCACTAAACTGGACACTTTGGAGTTCCAAAGCGCGCGGTCCCAAGCCAAGGCACGACTTGCGGGTTACTCTTTTCACAAAAGCGGTTTCAAGAAAATCTCTGTTTGTCCGTCAACATTGTGATCTGCAAACGGTAGCGTCGGACCTAAAAATAACATGGCGGTGGATGACAATAAATGGCTTCTATTTGTAAAGCCGTCAAAGTTTTGGGTGGAGATAAGCAGACAATATTTTCAAGAGAGTGAGGGTATCAAGAAATTGAGGCTAACGCGTCATAAGCATGTGGACTCATAGCTGAATAAATAAATCCATCACCAGGGAGAGTGGGCTGAACCACGGTGACTTTGATATGACCAGAATGTAAACATCCTGACAGTGAATGGAAAGACTTGCCATGAGTGCGTGTGCATGTCACCGTGTGTTTGTGTGTGGCCCGGGTCAGATTAGAAACACCATTGTAGGTTGAGCAAACAGTGTTGAAGACCCGCGGGACGCAAACGTCATTGCCTTTACGGAACGTATCGCGCGTATTGTCGAAAATGGAGTGGAGGCGGGCGTGTGTGGGGGAGCTTTGTATTTGAAGGTTCCTTCATTCTCTCCACAGGAAAAGGAGGGTGTCGACGCAGTATCTGTGGGGGCCATTCTCTCTGATTACCAGAGGGTCCGTGTTGAAAACGTGTAAGTTTCACAACACACACACGTATACACGTTAGACAGTTGGGGTGGTAAAACACAATTCTTTTGACTTGAAGTAGACTTCATTCCCGAATTAGCTCCGAGTCGGCTCCTTTATGGCACTTTTAACCATTTCTTGAATACAAGGATTTTCTGAGTAAACAGATGCGGGTCTGTTGTGATGTAGCATTTTC